ACTGCACCTGATTTGCCTTCCACGAAGTAATATCAAACCCAATTGCACCTTTGACGCGCTATTTCCCGAGAGTCATGGCATAGTCGAAAAGAAAATCTATGTCGCTCTGACTTGGATGGACCGACGTAATCCTTCTACTGTTTGTTGGTGCGCTACTGAATGTGTATAACGCAGTAGGATATGGAATTGCATCCGTCACGACCGTGCGCAAGATTCCACGAAGTAAGTGCATCACCAGAGCATAAATATTTAAAACACAAAAATACAAAAACAGACATCTATCATACAGGATTGAGAACAAAAATCGACCCAACTGCTTCTAGGTTCCTGTTAGACTTCGGAGTCGAGTACTCAAGTAGGATATAACATACCAGAAAGTAAGACGATGTGGGACGAGGATACGCAGTCTGTGACTATTTGGATGGTCTCTTTTGTGTCTCTAGTGCTATCTGCGGGGGTATTTCAAAGGACATTCCGACATATTCTGTATTTCCCTCCTTCTATCTTCTTGACAATTACGGACTTGCTTCCCCTTTTTGGCCATCAGCTTTTCTCTCTTCTGTCCATTGCTTTTTGGTTTGTCTTCACACAACTACGGGATAGGGGATTCCAGTTCCACGAATCATTTTGCGACTTCGGTGCGGCGACACTCCTGAGTCTCTTCCTTCATAAGGTTCCCACTTGGGTTTTTTGCGCACCGCGCTATTTGGCGTCAGAGTGCCTGCTCCGCTGTAATTTTTGGGGACGCAGAAGTGCTCTGACTCATCCGGAGCCATTTGCCACAAATCGCATCGCCATCACTTGGAGTAGTTATTACGGTCTACCTTACCCGAGTTTAGCGCAAGCTTACATCGGAATGTCGGAGAATCCGGATGGCTCGGACTGTGATCGAGGTGCCAATAACGTGCAGGGATATGGAGCCAACAATCAGGGGCGACGTGTGCCGTCGAATGAGGAGACGCTAGACTTTGGAGTCCATCAGGACGACCAAGGTGTCGACGGCCACGTGCGCGCTGCTCCTTATTCGTCATGGCACATCTCCTTGCTCCAAGAGCACTCTCCAGTCCTCGTCAAGTTTTGGCGCTACGTCGTGCCTTTGGCCCTCGTGGGGCGTCAAGCCTTCGAGACAGTACGGAGCAGACACTTCGGAGTGTGTCAACGAGCTACCATTGACTTTCGCTGGACTCCTGTTGCCCTCATCAAGCACACAGGATACACGCGGAGGCTGGTGCTCATCCTACGTCCGGCGACTTGGTCAGGCTGGTTCCTTCCAATTGCATCACTTCACGGAGATGCTATGGGATTGCGTGCCAGTCTGAGCTTCACTCACTCATGGTGGGAGGAGGACTACCTACATGAGGCACTCTTGGATGACGCAGAGACCTTCTGGACCCAACACTGGCGCTGAGTCTCGGAAGAAGTTGAGGGACTTTCGAAGAACAGCATATCTATAACACAGGGGGGGACAGGGACGAACTGACTCACGTTAACAATTCCGTATACATATCCATATTTACCGCCAAAAGTCCGCTCAGTTAACTAATGGCCAAGTATGTTGACAAAGAGAGGCGCTGAGACTATATATTCACTGGTAGTTCTCCAAACATAGTCTTTAGCAGACTATTGTTTGGAATCGTTCCTCAAGGCCCAGACTCTCCGGCCGAACTACAGCGGAATATAGGTAGTCCACGATTAATCTAATCTATCTTGATAGAGACGACTAATTCGCGAATTACAGGGGGGGTCTGCCAACATACTGACAATCATAAATAATCAAAATTCTTTCATTTTACTCGAAATAGGTATGATTTCATCATATATTTCGAGACCTAATTAATCTCACGGCGTGATAAGGCCATATCAAGCACGTACGAGAGACGTATCTAGATCTACGACAGACCACATCAAGATCACACTCTAGAAGAGATCGCCCTAGAGATCGGAGAGTGCGGATCTGCTAGATTAGATAGCTCAGGAGAGAGCGAAAAGATCGCCCCATTCCAAAAGGGTGCAAAAGAGCACTACATAAACAAAATGTTTCCAAGATCTGAAACCGAAGTTCCAGATCTTTATTGAAGAAGGACCTACTGAAAAAAGCAATACAAATAGTCTTAGTCGCTATCTTATCGAACAAAGGAGGCTCGAGATCGCTTCACTAAGTAGCATTCGTTTGGTCGCATATGGAAATCGCATTTGATCTCTCACCTATTCGCTCGACAAGTTAACACGATTCAAAGATCGACACTTGACTCATTTAATATCTTTCGGATAAGACGGAGCACACGAGTGAAAAGATGCATTTGGATCCTACGCTATGTGAGTAGAAGAGTGACGGAGTGGCCATTTAAGATAAGCGACCTCATGTTTACATAATTATATAAATCAAGGCAAGTTGGCCCGTCTTTCATAAGCATTGTTTTCTTTGTCAAGCACACATGATTCACGGCCGATTTGCCACAAAGACTTTCAAGATTCAGGATTGTACTCAAGGTCATCCGCATATAGCGTCTGACTTCTCATCTGTGTTGATTGTGTATTGGTCAGACCAGCCACAATCCGAAAGTACATTTATTCGCGACATTTGTCGACGAGAAACCTTTAGAGATGCCTTTTTTAGTGCCGGAACTATCCACATTTTAAAAGACGCGAGGCACACGCCTTTCTAGGTAGTGTTGCCATTAGGGACGCATCCCCATTTTAGATGTCTTAATTGTGTGTTCTTAATTGGTTCAGTAGGGAGCTGATGTCGATGGCCGCAGCTCGTAGTCAATATTGGCACTTAAGGAAGATGCTTGTAGTTCTGGAATCCGGCGCCGGATGCTTGCCCAGCTAGTGCAGCAACAAAAGATCTACCCAGCGCGATCATCTTCGTCGTAAAATCCAGCGAAGTCTTCGCGATCTCGCTCCGTACCAATGCAACACGAGGCGCGACAACACTCATCGCACAAGACCACGCACCTCTGCAGCGATCTAGTATTCTCCCTCAGTAACTGCTTCCACCAGGTGCCGCCATTCTCCAAGCATTCCGCCATCTCGACCTCGAATTCACGGCGAAGCCTCCCAGGGTCGGGACAGCGGTAGGAGCTGTCTCGAAGATACGGCTGCAACCGGGGGCAAGTGCGTCTATTTCTAGTGGCCCACACTGTGCACAGATGCGCGCTCGCAAGATGTCCGCCCTCACCGTGCCGGAGTTTCCTCGTTGCAATGACTTCCGCGCCACTTACGAGGCCGATGGCTGTTTCATACATTCAAGGCACGAAGGAACTCACCTTCCCAGTCATAGCAGACCACTCGGAGACTCGCAGTCAGCCGGCCTGTGACTTTCCAAGTGGAAACACTACTACTATCGCTGACCTGGAAGTCTTCGATCTGCAGAGTACTAGGCTCCTTATTTATTAGCGCCCTTTGATGAATGTGCTGCCGCTTTATCTCCTCCGGCATAGTCGTAGCCCTGACCCATCCCGGCTGCCTCTCGTTTCAAAGAAGAAGAGTCGAGCAAGGTCTTCTTCTTGCTATCGGCAGCCGCTGAATCAGGCTTATATATTGTCATAGCCATGCTGCTCGTCTAGCTTCTGTTTTTTGTTTGTTTCACTTTCACGACACCCGTTCTATTTCCTGTTATCTTCCCTTCTTCCTGCTGATGTCGTGGCCGTTTTTGTTGTTGGAGTCTGTAGTCGTGCCGAACTTTCTCAAGCAGACTCTGCCCGGCATTCTCCACGCCGTTGATGCCCTTGCTTTCCTTGGCTTTCTTCTTCTTGCTTGAAAAAGCTACTTCATTGCCCTGCCGCAGAAGCAGCTTTACTCTCCCACTTCGCAGGCGGTAGCTCCTTCAGGCCGACAGTGTACACCGGAAGCGCCGCACTTTTGAGGTCTTCGTCTGTCATCTGCGTGGTAGAGTGAGAGATGCCCTCATCTACCTTGAGAGTGCCAGCTTCTTCTTCATCTTCTGCAACATGCATACCACTAAAATCCACGCACTGTCTGCAGATCAATTCGAAGCATAGCGATCCACCCCGGCTCGGCGTCGTGTAAGCTGTCGCGATCTGGTCCTCCACAGTGCTCTGCTTTTACAAGGAAAACAATCCTACAGCTGCTAAGTAGATCTCCCCTCTCCTCTTCTTCCTTCTGATCTTGATCATTCACCTCCCCCAAATCCGGCCCCAACAAGTCGAAGTCTGCTACTAGGGTGTCGCCATCTCTGGCCTGCTCCTCTTTCTTCTTCCCTGATGCTTTACATACACGCAGCACAGATGCGGCGCTCCAGTGGATGCACTGGCCGAGGAGAGATCTCCAACTGTGATGGCTTACGAGCAACATTCATCCTGTCGCCAGCGTCGACAATTCTGCCCCGCCTCTTCTACGTACGACGGCCCTGGCCTGCCATCTTTGGCGGGGTATTTTGCACGAGCACGCCCTTCAGCACCATGGTGGGCGGCTATCTATTTGCTAGCGGTAGCCTCATCTTTCGGCTGTGGGTCTTTTCTCGTAGGAGCCTCTTCATCACTATCAAGATCTGCTACAACGGCGCCCGTTTCTGCGGCCGCTGGAAGGTCTTCTTGGTCTAGAGTCGCTCGGTGCGTCATGGTGTAGGCGTTTTGGCGTTCTTCACTATCTGCGTAACGGTTTGCATTCGCGTCGATGTTGTAGACACCTGTCTGCCAGTGCGGTGCTTTCGTATTTTTCTCCTTCGTCTTCTGCTCCCTATGCAGGTCGCAGGCTCGACGATACACCCCTCGCCTCTCCTTTGATGGTTTCGCAGAAATTTCTACTCACGTCTTATTTGCCACCACCCTCGAGCAACTACAGTTGATGTTGAAGGCTGGTCGCATGTTGTGGCCTGCTGTAGTCTGAAGTAGCGACTTCGTCACACAGTGAGCACTTACATAAAGTACAAAATATACACCACCACAATGGTGGCGGGTGCGAGGTAGATACTGGCATACTAAGGCGCTAAACCGTAGGGGGAAGAAGCAGCATTATGATGAAGGCGATTGATTTGCGTGCTCGACTTCAGTTAACTACGTCGCTCCTCAGTTCTTTCATCACAGAAACACTCTCACACTTTTCGGCGCTGTTTGCATTGCTCTCGTCGCGAAACCAGTGCTAATTTGAGCACTCTCGTGTAAAGTTTTTATATTCTTTTACTTCCTTAACCGTGCAAACAAAGAAGCGAAACAAAGAGAGTAACAAACTTTACCGAAATAGATGGACAGATGTGTAGAGGCAGGCGCACGCCTTGCCTTTTCTTCAGCCAAATACTAGAGCGCGCAGCTTGGCCAGTAGCATAGTCTTCATTGCTCTATGATTTCCTCCTACTTTGGCTGCCCTTTTTGTTCGTTGTCCTTTAGGCTCTGCTGCCTTGTTCCGCCGCTTGGCCGCATAAAGACACCCCACGACTCGCCTGAGGTCTTGTGCTCGAAGCTGCTCTGTTGGAAATGCGAGCAGGTAGCTCCACAGAGACAAAAGCGCATAGTAACCCGGATCGCCTCCCCAGATCTTCGCCAGGTCCATGGCTTGTAGACTTTGCCACGCTTCTCGCCCACACATATAACCCTCTAGAAATCGTTCGCGAACGTCGTATGCCGTTCCGAACCGATAATCGAAACAAACACGCGAACAATGGGAAGCCAGCTGGCTCGATGCAGACAGCGCGTAGACCTTGGCACGATAAAGAAGACGAGCACAAGTATACTAGTGAACGACTATAACCGTGAAGCTCTTACATGAAGTCTCTGAGTGCCACTATTGCACTCTTGTCGTATAAGCCTAGGGATTAGCATGATCGTCATCATCTAACTCTTAACACAACTACCAGGCCTAACCGCTCTTCCGACATTTCGCCGCCAACAATAGCCGCCACGTCACGAACCAGTAGACTCACACCACCCAGGTACTCTACTGTCTGCTGATAATCTTGGGCGAAAACATATTCACACTCGTCCCGGAGCCGCTCCACGTCTTGCAACTCCATGCCAAAATAGTGGTCGATTGGCTGGCCCAAAACATAGACGAACCACCCGGAGACACAGAGCACAGACCAGACGCGTCATCTGGTAAGTGGGAGGAAAAGCAGATAAGTTGGAGGAGGTAAGGACGATGACATAATCACTCAGACATAGGCACTAGTAGATAGTGAGACTGTGGCGCCGCGACTGAACGAAAACTATTAACAGCCCAATAGTTTGTGTATATATTTGTAGACTAATCAGTCGGCGACCGTTTCTGCTGTCTAGTCATCAGTCAGCATTTACTACTTAAAGAGTCCAATGATAAGTGGCGACCTTTTCGCTCCTGCTTGACGCTCATGCAATGCATGGACGTGATCAACTTCTTTCAGCTTCACTTGGTCGCCAAATAAGCGACCAATGACTAGACCCCCAGAAAAAATGAACGCCACTAGCATCCGTGAGGTCTGAAGAACCGCAAACGTCAACCACCTTGACCAGGTAGGGGCCTTGTGTCCTCGTGTGAGCTGCAGGATAGCGGGGCGCGCTTCTCTGGATGTCTTCGGAGGAACGAGAAACGCAGGAGGACCTCAGCGCGTCCGATGGATCTTCTTCAAGATTTTCTTCTCTTTCGGCGGTGCTCGTAATCTCCGCAACACGTCGCCCGAACCATCTCCAGGCCCCACGTTTCCACTTTCACGCAGATAAACGCTGAGGCACTCTAACATGCCTACGCTAATGTCTTGCCACTTCAGCTGCAGCGCCTTCACCTGGACGAGGTGACGAGAAGATCGTGAGCAAGGTCCACAAAAAAAACTAGAAACGGAGACGCAGTCAGCACTTGAAAACGATGAAGAGAAAGCTGGAAGCTTTGACTTGTGACAAAGTAGCCTATAGCTGTACCCCCATAAAGTGCCACCAAAACCAAACGCGTCCGCTTTTCCCAGCATTTTGGGTCGATATTGGCTCCCATCATACACATCTCGCCCGACTCTCTAGCGATTGTCGCTGCTTGGTGCACTCTGCACCTGCCACGCCAGAAGATGACCTTATGCGAATTGGCGATCGGTCCATCAGTAAGGTGCCCCCCACGCCATAGCTGTTGGCTGTTGGTGCTCCCACCGCTGTCCGTGTACAGAAGCCAAATCAACAACTTCCCAGCTGGCAATCCCTCCAGCAGTTCCTTGATCCCACTTGTTTGTAGAATCACGTCGGCCATAGATATCAGCCCGCTGCTTCTGTTAAGCCAGTGGGTAGAGGCGCGCGATAAGCTACACCATTGATATCGCTGAAAACGTCACCAGGGTCCACCATGTCCTGCGCCTCCTTTGTTCGCTTAGGTGCGCAGACAACTCCAGGACAAGGCAGACCCACTTCGCCTATGTCAGACGTTGACGCTGTTCGCCATTGTAGTTTCCGGGACAAGGTTAGCCACACACTTGGTGCCACGCCGGACTTCTCTTCCACTTTCACCAGCCTCCAGGATTCCCCTGGAGGTGCCATCAGGCTCCAATCTATACCCAATATCTGTCGCCGCCGGGTCCTGCGTCAGCTTCTTAATTCCCACTAGGGTCTCCTTCTTCAACAGCGTGGCCAACTTCTGGAATCGCCTGGCGTCTTTCTTCGGTTCAATGCGTTGACTTTGGTCGAAATGCTTATCCAGCAGCGGGCCAGCTTCTTTTGATGTGCCGGCCTCTGCTTGTCGTGAGCTGGAAGCGTTTCCATTTGGGAGAACCATCTGAGCAGGATCATCCACAACCTTGCCCCTGGCAGTGGCTTGATCCCGTTGCAACATTTTCTGAAGCAGCCTCGTCCTAGTATACAACTACTTAAATAATTACACACGAGGAAGCCAAAAGGCATGGAGAAGCGATCTAATAATAAACATCATCTAGCTTTTCTAGTACTAGTTTGCTTCTGGCTTCCCTTGATCGTAGGAAAGCTAGAACATATCGACGCCAGGCACTGAATTACGACCCTGAATAAATAGTAGCGCCCATCTCTTAAAACATCCGATCGAGCTGTAAACCCTCGAAGCGATAGAGTTCGACACCGGCCCGCCAAGCTCTCTCCCAAAAACACTCATCCACTTTAGTTTACTCTCCTAACCTTATCCCCTCGAGTCAGTTGTTTACATTCTAGACCGATAAGGAACGAGTATCAGACCACGACCAGACCGCGAAGGCGTTAGTCTGTAAGGGGAAACCGATGGGAGGACACACAATCAACCCGAATCACCTCCAGCGCGGGAGGCTGGCTGGGGTTTGGGGCATTGTCCTAAGCTTTTCTACTGTTTTACAAGTATCCAAACACGAACAGGGCCACCCTGTGTTGTTCCTGCGACTCTCTCCGGCTTCTCCTCTGCTATCCACAGCAGAAGCAGCAAGCGCTGCGCGCTCCCAACTGACCCCAACCACCTCCCCCTCTTATTGAAGAGAAGAGAGCCACGCGGCCTCCCAACTAGACTACCAAAATAACCCACATGAGACCACCAGCAGGAATAGAAACCAACCGGCCCACAACAACGCCCCCCCCTCCCATTGGCTGCGTCATCTTGCTTCTACCCCATTGCCTGGCGCCTCTACCTGTTACACCACGCACCAACATAACACACAACCACACCCAGCACACCCCCAATCGGTCCCCCATGAATCCCCTGGAGAAAACGCCCGCCCCTCAGTCAATGACCTGAATCCCCTAGGCTATACCCACTGGAATCCAACCAGTCCCAACCATGAAACACATCCGCCCACCCTTGGCACAAGGTCAACACCATGCGAACCCATGCGCCTCCAGCTCCCCCCAAGGCTTTACAACCCACCCACCCAAGGACTCCGGTGCGTGTTGCTGTGTGATTTTCTGCCACTTGCTCACCAGGACACTGGTGGTCAACACTGGGCCCGACTCTGCACCACGAAGAGCAGGCCCTGCGGCGTCCCTCCCTCCAGATCAGGCGCGTGCGCTAACGCTGCGGAAAATGGCCACACGGCAGCGACGGGCCTCGCAGTCAGTGGAAAAGGCAAAACTTGGCCAGTGCAGCTACTCAAGTTTTTCCGCTGCCCGTTATCAAGTGCGGCCACGAATACTGTAACACTAGACGAGAAGACGAGAAAAATAGACAAACACATAGAAAGGGCAGAAAATGACGACAGGGGGCAGCTCAGACGCGTGCCAACCTGGTAGAGAATCAAGACACACAAGACAGAAGTCGCCCGACCACCGGCGGCGGGGCTCATGAAATGCCAAGAGAGCAACCCGAACACACAGACAAGAGGCGGGGCGCGGGGGAGGCGGCGATCACAAGCCAAGAGCGTGGCGCCGCGGCGAGAGCGTGCGCACCAGCTGTTGGGAGGCAGTCGCTGCGCACTGGCTAGCGGTTGGGGCATTCAGTGAGCTGCCGAAAGTAAGACGCGAAGAGCCTTGCCGCGCGTCCTTGGCGGGGCCGATATTCGCACTTTGGGGCTTCCGCTGGTGTTTGTCGTCGGTTTTTTCTGCGTCGTTTTGTCATTCTTCCCCCCAAGCGCCGGGGCCTTCTTGGATCATTCTCGCCATGCGGCCACAGAACGACGCCCAACCGCATACACACCCCGACAGTTAATAGCTTGGGAGAGTTTTCATTTACATAAGAACCAACCCGAACAAGCCAGCGCGGAGGCTCGACCAGATTTGCCGGGCCTATTGTCTCCTTTTGCACCACTTTAGATAATGACCTCAGACACCCCCACAGCCCCGAGCGATTATAACGCAAAACCTTCTTGAAGGCGCTGCCTTCCTGAAGCTTAACCAAATAAGCCCGCCAAGAATGACGAGAAACTCAGACCAGCCGTCCCTTTCATAGAAGTGCCTGCAGGTCATCCACGTAACCCCCCTCTTCGCTTTGAAGCGTCTCGGCTGTGCCCCGGGGCTCTCTTCTGGGCCCGCGACATTGGTGAACCCTGCCAACGTGATGGCGGTGGGAGAGCTCACGCCCGTGACCATGCCAGCATGGGCGCTCGCTTCACTCTGTCTGCCGGACAAGAACGAGCAACAAGGCACACCGCTGCCCATACCAAAGATAGAGCCGCGAGATATGTTCCGGCCGTGGTCCCTAGCCCAATTCGTTTACGGCTGCGACAAAAAGCCTTGGTCTGGCACTCTGCCGATACGCACTGGCGAAGTGGTTTCCTTGCCGCGGCGCTAGGCTTAGCCAGCAAACTGTTAAGGCCCAGCCGCTGCCTCTTTAAAAAGGAAGCTGTTTCCCAAGGCATCAACTGCTTCTCCAAGGTTTGCAGCACAGTCCCCGCGGCAGCTTCCACTCTCCCATCTCCGTCCAAGTCGATGCGGTCGGTTCCGTGCTCGACGATCAGGTGCGGCTGCCCGTGTTCCGATGGGAAGTCACCGCTCTGCCAACAAGGTCCAGGGCCGAGGGGCAATCTCATACCCGAGTAGCCGACTGCTTCCGCTTGTATACCTAGGGAGAGCATCTGGCACCGCCACGCAACAAGTCGACCAAGGGTCGCACGTCTCGGCCCCATCTTTGGGGGACTCCAGAATAGCTCCGCCAGAATACTGGCGCGCGGAAATATTGTAGACTCAACATTGCTGGCGTCGAGGTGCTCTCCCCAAGCGAGTGCCTCGCCACCTAATACCCGGTTTCTCTCAGACATACTAAGTCCATTTGGGATTGGGTCTTGGGCATACATTTTTTGCCACGGAGTGTCCATGTTTAGGTAGGTTGTGTCCAAGGAGCTGTAGATGACGTCATATCCTGCCCTTACCAGGCTCCGTAGCCGATCAGGACCCTTCCACACTTGGATGATGGCGCGCCGGGTTACATTCGCGTACTGCGCTGCCTCATCGTAAAAAATGGGACGCTTGCCAACTCGCTGCGACATCTCCGCAAGACGGGCAACAAATTTCGTGTACGCCTTTGCAGAGTCTCCGTGCATATCCCTTCCGGAAAAGCATGCGGCGGGTGCCTCCTCCGAACCGAAATGAAACCGCTCACCAGGGAAGGATCTGCTCATCGAGGCAAGAAGACGACCAACGAACTCATAGGTCTCTTCTAGGTTTCCGCTCAAGACTCCCCGCACCTCTTTCGCTGAAGTGTCCTGCCCTCCGCAAGCAAAGAGCCCCGGATGGCTTCTCCGAATGGCGGAAGAATGACCTGGCATGTTCACTTCAGGCACTACGGTAACTGCATGCCGCCGCGCATATCTAACAATGCGTCGGACCTCCCCCACAGAGTACCGCTCGTTGACATTATCAAACGCGCCGGCAAGTGCTAGCTCGGGAAGGTCGGGCAGCATCGCTGGAAAGCTCTGGTCGTCACTAATGTGCCAATGTAAGACGTTCAACTTGTTCCACGCCATGGCTCGGACCAGTCTTTCGATAAATGGCGTCGGTAGAAAATGGCGGCCAGTGTCAATGAGAAGGCCCCGATGCTGAAAGCGCGGGCCATCCTTTACGGTACAGTCCTGGGGCATCAGATACACCTCGTTTTTGGGGTCGAAGCGAAGAAACTGCGCAAGGGTGACGAATGCGTAGAGGAGCCCACTATAGTCGGTCGCCCCCAGCCAGGCTCTGCCCTTGTCGATCCGAAGGCGGTAGCAAGATTCGCCACCACCTTCACACCATACTGATGGCGAAGCGCGTGGCTTTTCTAGCTCCAGCAAGAAGCCGCCCTGCCTCGTACGAGTGTCGGCATGGATGAACAGGTACGAAGACTCATGCTCTATGAATTGCCTCAGGTCTTGCACGTCAGCAGCCGATGGAGGGTGTGCCTCACTAGTTCGCAAATCAAACGCAGCATCGATGGTCTGGCTAGGCCCAGTCCATGCACTATCGGACCCGGGGACGCAGGACACCTGTGCGGGCTGCGGCCAGAGTGTCGATGAACCTGCTTGTCGATAAGAATCCACCCCACCAACTGAGGCTCGCACGAGCTCGGTGCCGCGGAAGGGACTCTGGACGAGTAAGAGGAGACGGAGCATGGGCAGGCAATGGCATGTGCGGGGTTGCGCATGCCACTCCCACTGGCCTTCCGTGGTCGAAGTTGTAGCCGTAGTCCGGTGTCCTATCTTGGAACATGTCAGAGGACTTCGGCCCCGACTCTAACTACATGCACCCCCACGACCGGTCGGTCTTGGCCATCTTTTTCTACTTCAAGGAAGCTCGCGCATTAGCACGCCCCACGCGTCATCTGCTAGAACCACGCGGCACACTGTGATACTTACCCCGAGAAGGGACACAGCCAAGAGCTTAGGGCCGTGGCGAGAATTCATGAATTTCCATACCCCATGAAGCCTACCGCTACCAGGCACACTCGCCTCTACCATCTGTGGCATGGATATGGGAACCCCGATAGCACTCTAGCCCTGCCATGCTACAACTCGGTAGCCCTGGGCGATCAGATACAACATAAGCCACGGAGGGTAAGGCGCTTCACAGCCTAAACCATGACACAAGGGCGCCAAAGCTGCTGCCCGTTGGGAGCTAGTCTACCCCCGTTTTTTTTAATTTTCGGCCCACAATCAAGGCGGCCGAAGTGCCTCCGTAGATATAGGTGACGGACAAGCACATAAAAGTGCTCAGATAGACACACCCGGGCGCCCTCCGCTCTTTGGTGGGGATTACAATCATGCTTGGCAGAACACATCCCAAGCGGATGCTTGGAAGCTTCGAAGATGAAATCCCCAGCCGACTCATTCCCCCATCGCCAAAAAACTCTACATGCCCCAGGGGCCAAGGCCACCCCGATGTAAATTTTCTGAAGAGGTCTCCGTAGGTAAGGCCCCCCGTGCACCCTAGACTAGCGGCCACAGCCCCTGTCTAAGTTTCCCCTTCTCCCCCCGCACCTTATACACCGGGGGGCGAGGTTTTTTTTGCATGACGCGGGGCGCGTGCCGCATGACGCACGGCATGGGGCGACGCATGACACAAGACGCGCCAAACATGACACCTGGCACGTGGCCGTGGCGTGGTGGCCTTCGATGCGACTCTTCGCCGTGGCGTGATAGCTGTGCTACCCTATCTCTATCAACCTCATCAACCAGCCCTCCTTAGGCGGGGGAGGGCCCGGCGGCCTATTGCAGCCAGCCAGGCGGTGGCAAGCCGCCGGCGCTATTTGCTAAAAATGTGACACATTTGTGGCAAAATGCCAAAGAAAACTTATCAAGGTCGCGCCTGCTGCTCAACCCACCCACCCCACGGCCCCTCAACAACCGCCAGGAGAGCCAAACCAATAGCCCACCTCCACCACCGTCCGAAGTACCCCCCACGCTGACATACTCACGAGCACCAACGGGGGCAAGCTGGGCATTTTTGGTGGCGAACCTCCCAAAAATGCTAAAACCTCTACGCCCCCGCTCAGGTATTCACCAACACCCGAAGAGCCTCTCGAGATGGCCCCCTCCGCTGGACTGCTCACCAGACCACGCCCCACGGCTTGAGCGCCCTGCGAAAGCGCGCACACAACCCAAGGAGCCACAACCCACCACGACGCGAATGCCTCAACAGACAGACCCAGCAAGCCCAAGAAACGACCACCGAGTCAAGCCGGGCGCCCTCTCTACCGCTCGCGCCTCTCTTGCCGTGACCAAGAGCCCAGCCCAACGAGGTCCGCGAGAACCCGGCGGCCGCGGGGTCTTTTTTTTTTTGTCTTGCATGTAGTCTAGTCGCGCCCATGCTAAATTTGTGCTAAATCGAGGGCCGACACCGTTGGCGCTTTCGCGTGATGTTTGGGACCCCCTCGATTTAGCGCCAGTTTTTCTCGGGGGTGCAAAACCACACACAAGGCCACAAAACATAGCACCCCAAGCCGTACCCTAAATTTAGCAGAAGCTTAGCACTTTCAGGCATCACTAACGGGAAGGGCACCCCGATAGCACGAATTTAGCACCTCCCAGGCAGCCAGCGCTATTTCAATTAGAACCCAACTAGCATAGGTCTAGCGCTTTCTTTCAGTTCGAACTACTTCGGATCCCCCTCATCGGGATAGTTTCAATTAGAACTACGTCGAAGGCACCCCGATAGCACAAGACTAACGCTATCGAGTAGCACCACCAGAATTAACGTCCAGGCAACATTTCAGCCCACCACTCCTGAAAAGCGAGCCCCGGGGTCACCTATGGCACTGCTGACACCCTGAACGAGCGCTCCCACAATCTCTCCGACAAGATGGGTCTCCGCGAAGCTGGCCACACCCCACGGCGCGAGCGGTTTGCCAAATCACCAAAAGCAAGTAGCAGCCCCACACTTCTACAGCCTGCCCCTTCCAGCGCGCTCGCTATGAGTGCAGAAATACCGAGAAAACACCAGAAAAACCACAGAAAAAGCAACCAGCCAGCATCACCCGCAAGCAACACGCACACCCTCCGCGTGAGGCTAAAAATAAAGCGCTACCTCTTTCGGAATGTCATTTTTTTCAACATGACGGCCCTAGGCTAGAAACGTTCCCCCGACATCCGACAGACTGCCAAGACCACGTAATAAAAGCCGACCCACCACAAAGCCGAAGGCACGCACAACACTGGAGACGGGCCCCGCAACCGCTTGGGCCCACCATACCAGCCGAACCTTTTCCCAAAAGATCCCACCACGGGCCCACCCTCGCAACCTGACACAGCTCCCACCCAAAAGGACCTCCGGAAACAGCTCGAAAACTTTGCAACGAGTGCCCGACCGATATGACGAGAAGGAACACGAGGCGACCGCCGTGAGCTGCTGCAAAACCAGACCCAGACGCCGCCAAACTGTCCACACCACAGGAGACCGAACCGAAACTCAGAAGAGACCCCACCACACTAAAACAACACAGTCAGATCAAAAAAAAGGGAACACCCACTCCCATCGAGGGGATGCCCGACGCTGCTCGGCGGGGGTCTACCTCAAGACAGGGGATCTGTTTTTTCATTTTTGAAAAATATCGCGCACCTTCCACCTTGTTGCCAGGTGAGAGCTTTCTTTCACGCATTTCGTCGCTGAAAATGGCGGAAAAGAATGACACCGACCGCAAGGCCTGACAATGAAAGAACCGCGAACCGGTAGCAAAAACACGACGACAGAGAAGCGCAAAGCCCTCCGCGTAGGCCTGTCGGCAAAGATAGGGCCACCACATGACTAAACAACCCACCGCAGCACCCACCTGAGGTTCTAACCAAAAAAAACATCACGAAGACATGCCTCCACACACATCGCTAAACCTCAGACATGGCACAACCCATGGCCACAGCTTGCGCTGAAAAATACCACACAAACGGGCCGAGACGATGACACAACGAAAAAAGCTGGGGCCCAAACACTTTCGAAGAAAACCCACCTGGCAAGAACTTTGCAGAAAGTTCAGAAGCCCGAGCACGAAAGAGAAACCACGACAGAGACAAAAGAAGCCCCGAGACGAGAAGGCGAGACACCGCCGATCCAACCACAGCAGAAGACACCAACCAGAAACCACACAAAAAGAGAGACACCGACACAACCAAACGAAAGAGAGAAGCGCAGAGACCTAAGACAAACCGACCAAAACTGAGACACCACAAAACAAGAAAGCCGGGAGCTTTTTCTACAAGTCTGCGCAAGTTTCTCTCTAACCTTCGAAGTTCTTGCCTTCATCCCTTGGCTTGACCTGATGCGCCCAGCGATCGGGTGGGGCGGCGTTCCATCTGTCCCCTGTCCCCATAATCCTCAAGAGGGTGCCCCTCTTCAAACACGGGCGCGAAAATCTGCGGAAAGTTTTAGAAAAGTCCGAAAGAGTTTGAGTTTCAAAATTTTCGAGAGTGTTGGGGCCCTCTTTTCCAACGCTCTTTTTTTGAGTCTTGTGCCTTTTCCAACCTCTTCCCCAAACCTTCCCAGAAGCCTGCCACGGGCGTCCTCCTCCAGTGCGCTGATGGGCTCCACCCCTGCGCAAACTTTTCGAGCCGAGACAAACAACAAACCAGCTGCATCCCATGGCGCAAACCAAAGCAACGAGGAAGGCACACACACAAAAAAACACAGAGACGAACACACGCCGCCCAGCAGAGACGACCGAACAGACAACCACCGGCGCACCAACAACAGCAGAACGAAGCCACAACACCCACACGCCAAGCCCCCCGAAGCTGCAACCAACACACTGAGCCAGGGCACCTTCCAGACTTTTCGCGGAAATTTATGCACCTGCTTCGCCATCGCCCCGCTGGTCGTCTCCAAAAAAAGGCACACAACCCAAAAACATAACGACTAGGCACGAAATAACGCCAAGGTTGAGCGCTAAAGGTGATCGCTAAAAATGCGTGGTCGCTAAAGTAAGGCGCTGTATGCCAAGGGGCGCGCCGCTGTCTCCAGCAATGGGGGAAGAACATTAACGAACGCGGCGCCAATGCTGTGCGTTTCAGTAGGGGCATCCTCAGGAACCACCGCCCACGGTATATAAACCCTGGAAGGGGTTGAACATAAAAGCCCACGAGCTCAGGCACGTCACCAAGAGCGGCCCGTAGCCACGAGGGGATCCCCTCACCATCGATCGGGGAACGCGTGGCCGTTCTTTCACCATGCATTTGCATCGCACGGAATTCGACGCGTTTCGCTGTGGAATTCCGTGCATTTCCATAAAAAAGCGACACCTAGACCCTAAGTAAGATCATTAAACAGATGCGATACATTCTGGAAGAGATCAGACCAGAGCGACCTACCAACGGCGCGCAAGATCTTGAGCCAGCTCAGAGACAGCACCATGGGCAGTCGCTTGGTTCTCATTGATATCAAGCACACCCAAGGAGCAACACCCTGAGACAACGACCTCGACCCAAGCCCCTCCGCAGTGGCTGCGGGGGCGCCATCGATCTCAGACCTAAACAAAGAAAGGCCCCCGCAGTTAGCTAACTAAATAAAGCCCCATCGCTGCCCACCAGAGACCTGAATAAGGAGAACAATGAACAGACGACGCCGCAGCTGAATCTGTTCCGTCCTCATTGTCTGAGTCTACTCAAGTCCCTCGCCCTTCACTCTAGGCGGCAGACTCTCTACGTCTACACGATGCAACAACGACCGACCCCACGGCAAGGAAGCTAGCGGCCCACCAACATACTTAAACTGTAGGCGCCCAGCAAATACGTCAGGCAGAACACTACCCGCCCTGCTGCGTGCATCCGTAGCCCCCCGAAGGTATCCGAGAGCGTGGCGCCTCGACTTAGGTTCTGCGTCCATGCCTCTAGCGGTCGAATTTGCGGACCGGTTGCCGATCCACAATCCAACGCGGCACCACCGAGAGAGGACAACCAAGCACCCTGCGCCTCGTTCCACGCAGTAGCTTCTTGGTGGGTGAGGGCTTTTTCAAAAAATTGCGCGAAGCCATGGCGCTCAGATAGCAGAAGCAGCAACGTGCTCACTTTCTGCGGTCGAGCGCGCGAGGGCTGTGCGTCTGCCTATGTGTTGGGCCTGCAACAGATAAGGCGACCACGGTAACAAATAAATTAGCCACCCAGAGGCGCGCGGGCCCCATACTAAGGCGAAGTCTTTCTTGACGCAGTTCGCAAACCCAACCCCCACAGATGTACACACCCCAGGGAACTCTCTCCCTCCTGGCAATAGTTTGCCACGGATTTGCTTGAAATCTTCCCCAACCTGGGCTGGGGGGAGAGCTCTACCTCTTCTGACCTTGTGCCGCTCAAGTGCTTCAAGACCTTCCACCGTGGCGACTTTCCTGCGCCGCTGCGTTGCAGGCTTCGCAACATGTCGAGCAGGGGCAGGGACTGGCGCTGAACGAAGTCAAGCGCCTGGCCTTCCGGCGGTATCTATCCGCCGGAGAGCTTCGACAGGTTCTCGAGGATATGGGAACCCGGCTGCGATCTTCAACCCAAAAGCCTCATCAAACACAAACAACGCAGGGGGACTCGCTAAAAGTTGGGCGGACGTGCCAGCTTATCAGCGGCGACCTTGAAGCCCCGGGCAGTTTTGTCGATGTGTTCTACTCTTCCACGTTGAGCAAAGAGGGCCGGCCCTCACGGCAGCCAATGGAACACGATAGCACCCCGAAGGCCGAACCTCCGGCACAAGTTCCCTGCTGGGCTTGGCACTGTCTCGCCGTCGGTTTTTGCTCGACCAGGCGCGCGCCCGAATATGCGAGGGAGCTCATCGGCGAAACCTTTTTCGCTGGGCCGTGCCACGAGATTGTCAGCAACATGGAAGGACCGGCGTCCCCAGCTATGTACTTCGTTCCTTGGCACGGTCGGGCTTGATTTCCTCCCGAGACCTGGCGCAAGCGGATAAGGCTCCCAACCTGTCCCAGTCAATACACCGCGGCACTTTCTGGACCAAGCTCCGGGAACTTCCTTCAGGCTATAAAAAAAGAGCCCCCCAGAGTTTGGCCATGTGGTCAGTGTAATGCTTCCAAGCCCAACCGGACGACGAGCGGCATGGGAGACCCTTTCTAGCTCAGCACTAAAGAGAGCTCAGCCAAGCTAAAACGGTCGAACGAGGTCGCCACCCGCTGCAACAGACGCGAGCAGCGGCCTACTGGCTGCATGTGCTACGACTGACGCGCAGGCTTCTACTTTCCACTGACGAAATCGATTCCCACACACGCACACCCTGGCCCTGTTTTGTACCTGCCACGTCTTTTGATAATGAACGACATGGCTACGGGCAGCGATACACTTCCCAGGCTCGCCGCCTTGCCTCCTCTTTGTCGGTCACATTCTGCCACTTTTCAGCGGCAGGCGATCTCTACGCAGAAACAACCGAAAGGAAACACCACAAAGAAACACGCCCGCGCGCTCCTCCTTGTCGTCGAAAAGATTCGCGGCACCTAGGACAGCCATCGCGGGCGCCATGTCTCTGGCCATCTCCACACCCGTTCGCCCCATTCTCGTTCCTGGTCCGCGCGGCTTGTCCTTCGCACCCTTAGGTCCGCGCCTCCTCTTGCCATCTACAAGCCTGCCAAGCTCAGGCGGTGTCGACGGAGTTTCCATCTCAGACCTGTCAAGACAAGGCGGACCCCCAAGCGCCGGCCGTTCCGGTTTGGTCCCCTCCTCAGGTGGTGCATCGTCTTGCGTGAGGTTCTCAGCCGACGCTGGAGGATCATGGTCGGCGGTCTCTGCTCTGTCCAGTAAATGGTGCGTCGAACGTCGGCGGCCCTTGTTGAGAAGTCCGGGCCGGTTTCCCTGGTGTTAATACGCCAGACGACTCAAGGCAAACCACCCGGCGCGAGCGCTACCAAATGGGGACGCTGCGGCACTGCACGGAGACCATCCCGACGACAGCACCCGGCTCCCAGGGGATCCCTTTCCAGACGCCTCTCGAATTCAATAAAAACAAAACAAAGCCCCGGACAAACATGCAATGTCCCCACAGAACTTGACGCCCCTCGTCGAGGAATGTCGCCACTGAAGGCCAACGCCCGCCCTATCGTCTTTGGTGAAGATGCCCACCGCCAGCCCACCCCGATGTCTCACGGCATAAACCCAAGGACACCCCACGACGGGGGGGCGCGCTTAGCTCAGTCGTTGGGTCTGGCGCTTCCTTCTGGACGAAAATAAGCCAAACAGCTAAAGGCTCGCAGTGCGCTCAGTCAGAGCGGATACCTTCGACCACATGCGACGACCCCCCAAGCCACCACGGAAAAACAGCAGCACTCTGCTAAAAAGCAACACACAACGTGATAGATACACAACATCAACGCACGCGCTCATCGCTCAGTTATCACGGGGCGTCGGATATCTTACTTATGGATAAACCACACGTCTCTTCTGCTGCGCTCGTATTTTCTGTACCTCGAGTTCAGCGGCGGCCCCCCCACTGTGGCATTCCTGTAGAACCTCTCGATGACGTAATTCAGCGCTGCCATATTAATCCCCTGATAGTAGGTCCGATTGGAGAGCTTAGCCTGTCTCAGCAGAACCAAATTGGGATCGGACAGCGCCGCCAAAATTCTGACCATCAGTTTTGTTATCGTTCGTCGGCCACCCGCCCCGACAATCCCAGCGCTCCACATTGGCTGGCGAGAACGCTGAGTAGAAATGACATTTGAGTAAAAGCGTCGGTACTCTGACCCCATGGCATCGAACCTCCGTCTTAACCATGGAGACGACATGGCACTATCGTCCACACCAGCGAACACGGTATCAGAGAACAGTTTCCTGCAAGGAGAACTTCCAACTTTGACATCGAACAAATCGGTGAAGAAAAACTGAACGATCTGTTTGTGGGCGCACACAAACTCAAAGATGCTAAAGAAGCGAACATCGTTCATATTGAAATTTCTCTGAAAGGCTACATCGTGCTTTTTCAGTACCACTCGCGCGAAGCGGATGGTGCGTGTTTCTTTCTCCTCAGTGTACTTCGAAGGGAGCGCGCCATCGTGTAATATGGTTACGCAGCATCCGGCCTCGCGCGCGGAATTGTAGTAAAGCTGGACGCTGCAATATGGATCAGCTGGCTCGCAGCCTTTCAGCTTCTGAAAGGCTTCTGATGATTTTGTGCCCCATCCTCTTCCGCGAGACGCGTGGGGGAGCATAAAGAAATTGGAAACCATAACGCATCCCCCGCAGATTTCTTTTTGCTCCTCTGGCGTCCACACCGTGGCGAAGTCATCAGATGACCAAATACGGCATTGCGCGTCAAACATTGCTTCCCGCGCGGCCCAATCCGCTGGGGGTGATGGCTCCAGAGCATTCCACACGGGATCCAAAACAGTATATGTTGCCGCCAGTTTGCCTCCCTCGGAGGCACGCTGTAATGGGATGACCGGAGATGAAGACGCGGGATCCGGATTAGATCCGGATCCCACATCGCGCACTCCTACCGACCTGGATCCCGATTCAAAGACAGTACCACTAGTGCTTGTGCTTGTGCTGTCTTCCTCTTTGTGCTCTTTTACCAGTGTTACACTGGTAAAAGAAATCATATGCTTCCACTGGCAGACGCGGGAGAACAAATCGCACAGAAAAATGCAAACCACAATGCCTGCGCAGATCATTGCGGATCATTTTTGATTACGCAGCTGCCTACGTCAATATCAACCAACAAGAAAGGTAGGGCTGGCAATTTCTTCTAAGAAAGTACAAAGACCCTGACACGACTCGTGTCTAAAAAGTGCTGCAGAGAGGATAACAAGTACGCACTTTTCGCGTGACAGAAACATCACTGCAAGTGCTGCCTCTGATGGTCTAGAAAAACATGTGATCAAACCCAGAGGAGCGCAAGTAGAGGGCAGCTTTCGCCTTAGGCCAAGACTTTCCTCGTTGCACAGCGTCATTTTTTTTTTGGAAGAGTGAACCAGGAAAAAAAAAGTACTGAGAAGTCCAGCGGGTGAAGCTGGTGCTGCGACGAGCTCCAACGGGTGCCGAGTAGGCGACGCCGATGCTCACCCTAAGGAGCACGGGCGATAAGCTGAGCGCGATGGGGGGGCGCTACGTACTGCACCCTTCACAGTGACGAGATCCAGATGTAGACTCAGTCGCAACTTGTTCAAGGAGGTTAATCAGATGCGCCTGGGAAGATCACCACGCAGACACACCGCACACGTTGGCGACAATAGTCGCAGAGCCTCGCCCATCTCAAGCCAACTGCAGTAGGATAGAGCGGCGCAGAATGCCGACGCACAATATGGATAAGAAGCCGCCAGGAGCAAGCCCATGCAGAGTCATTGGCTGCTCAGTGCCTGAGTGACCCAGCTGCGAAGGGGTACGTCATTCAAGGGAATTGGATAGCCAGCAGGCCACTGGCTTCACTTTTGCTCACTTTGAAGCCCCCCCGACGATTTCAGTGCACTCGAACTTTTTCGCGGCTGCGGGCGAGCAACTTGTGGTAGATAAGGTCGGACCATGGCGTCACGCGTAGAGCGACGAAAAACTTCATCGAACGGAGTAACTACCAGCGGAGAAGACTGAATTGAGGGCAGACACATAAGCAGAGGCAAGCAAGGCTGTGCGGTTATTTCGTTGCCTGTGGTTGTGAGAAACAGGCAACGCAATGCTTGAAGATGAGACGCTGAAGCAGAAGCGCGCCTTTTTCTTGACTAGAGACGAGAACCCGTTGGCCGTGGCTGTATTGTGGCACACCAGCCACTGCTCCGCATGCGCGGGCACATGAGTTCGACGAAGTGTTGACAGTGAGAGGGCAACGTCTGCAGATGCGAGTGAGTGGCCTGCCATGGGCCACGTCTTCCCATCCATGTCTCCAACCAAGGCTTCGCCTGGGGAAGAAAAGCAGCCCAGCACCAGAAAAGGAGAGACTGAAGCTGCCACGTACTCCGCGGGCTTTTGCTTTGAAGTTGCAGGAGGGGCTGGCGCTGCTTTTAGCCAAAGCGGCCTCGCCTCGAAGCTTGTTCACTAGTTGCCTGATGCGATCGGATGGGCGACAGTTTGTAGCTTTGCGAGTCGAAGCGAGCAACGCTCCAGCCCTTCTTTGCTTTGGCGACGTCGCTGAGGATGGGTCTAGGCGTCGCTGTCGATTTTCATTCCAGAGCGAGAGGCGCGCAACTGTGAAGCGCTGACGCGATTGACTCCCGCTCCGCTGGGCGGTCCGACCTGGGCTTCCTCCTGGCAAGCTGCTTCGATGCGCGAAGTTTGGAAAAAAGTGCCCGACATGTTGGGAGGCTCTTTGTCGGTGCGAAACTCTGATGGACGGGCGCTAGATGCGTCGGAATTCAACCGGGCCTGCCACGGCGTGCTCGTAAGTCCTTCTGCCATCATCTGCTGGCCGCTGCCATGCTCGAAAAGGCTGTGCGCGGTCACCTGTTCACGCGCGCGCCGCGTGCGCATTGCCGCTATCGTTGTAGAGTTCAACCAGCCGAGGCTGTTGGCGGATCGTCCCAAACGTTGTCCAGAAAGACCGCTGTAACGTGCGTCGGCTTGCTTCAGCGCATGGGTGTCGGGAATCGCGTTTGGGCAGGGGAACTTTTCAAATATTTCTCTGGAGCGGATAAGCCCCACGTCGCTGTTTGTCTTTTCCGTAGAAGCCTGTACCGGTGCCAACATGGTCGCCATTGCGAGCTGTAAACGCGAGCAGACAAGACCACAGAACACGTCCCGCCCCCCAAAAGCTCGCGCAACCCGGGTCGCCGCATCGAGCACCTGCTCGAGGGTCTGTCGGTCTACTACCACCTGGTCACTCTCTTCATCGCACGACGCGCCGCCTGCCCCAGAGAAAAAATCTGTATAGCGAGCCCGCAGCGGCATGTATGTTTTTCCCATCATTCGTGCGGCAAAGAGGAAGTGGTAATTACGTCTGTAAAACGGATGAATCTCCACCAACACCCCCTCCTTTTCCATAAAAATGACGTGCATCAACCCTGCACCATGAGTTCCTATTAGTACGCTTGTTTTTGCCATTACGGAGAGCTGCTCGCGAAACGAGTAGATACCATGCGCCAGGGGGTCTGACCCTTGTCGACGCGGGGGCGATCCGAAGTCTACAAAAATGGGGTCGGGAACGAAATTGGCCGCGGCTAATATTTCCTGCAGGTCTCGCTCAGTAATGTCGGCAAAAACACGACCAACCTTCTTGAAGCGGCTCCGCCTTCTTAGCAGGACAGTTATCTGTGGACCGACTGATGCCGCCTCACCTAATTCTTCGGAAACACTCTGACTAGGAACGATTACGCCCACCCCTCGGGCGGAAATATTTGTTTCATTATGCCTGCTTCGCGGAGGATCCGCCGAGCGGGCCCGCAGCTGTAACAGGGGCTCGCCCAGCTGATGTGCCTTGTTCTCAACAGGTACACTCCCAGCCGGAGGAAAGTATGACCCTATGACATGTTCCCGAAAAGCAAACCACAATGACGGCGCCGCACAGTGCAAAAACCTTGGCTTGGGGTAAATGATGCTTTCGGGGCTTTCAATGTGCCAGACCATATGCGACATCATTTGGGGCAAATTATCACGACCCCAGCTGGAGGATCGGGATGGGGATGTGGGAGCGCCTGGGCGTCTGGAGTTCCACCGGCGCAAAACTTCCTCCGACCGACCGCGCTTTGTGGTAAAAGCCTGATAGAGCGCATCCTCGTAGACATTTTGCGGGATGTTGTCCATCAGGAGAATCTGACCGAAATTTTCCAGTGCGTTTGCTCGGTCTCGCTTCTGGCGAATTTGCTGGAGAATAAAAACGTTCATTATGTCCGCCTGCGTGGAAGTTGTTTTCTGCGTCAGCGTCCCGGGTCAGCACTAAAATAGGGCCCGCCTTCGACTTGGTGGAGCCATGCCAACCTCCCGCAGCCTCGGAAAGTGGGCCGCTGGCCCCACCTCCTTCTTGCGGCAGACGACCACTTCCATGACGACTGCCCAAAAACTTGATGGACTTAATCTGTGCGTGGATATGTGGGTGTACCAGCTCCTTAGGTGAAAGGCGGCGAATCGTTTCAAAATTCTTCTTGTTCGCTTTGCAATGTAGTCGCAAGAACCCGTGCTCGTATCGGTTAAAAAATCCACCGGGACTTTGACTATCAACTGCAACTTTACTAAAATCGAGCTCAATGTTATGGGCCTCACAATAGGCAACTCGCTGCCGCTGCTCATCCAAGAACGCGTGGTGGTGTAGGTAGCAACGGAACCGGAGTCACAGAAGAACGGCCCACACTCATCCGCATCCGAGATCCGTGCGGCCTCTCATGTAAGCGTAAAGCGTCTGTATCTCCCCATAGAGAGAAAACGAAAGCGCACCTCACTTTTGAAGGTCTTGCCCGTTTATGGGACGCAGCAGGCAAGGGCATGATCTAACCGACCCAGCATGCAAACCGGAGGCAGCTCCCGTACCGAATCAAGCAAAACGAAACGACAACGCCAAAGAGCTGCTGGCCGCGTCCCCGTGCACAACACATGGAGCCCAGCGACCGAGTGGCCGACAACAGCAGCGCGGCGGCCTCCGCAGCAACATCCGGTTGGCTGCTTCCACGCAGTGCGATAAGCCAACCCATCGCAGGGGCCACGGCCACGCTGGTGTTGGCCGCGCTTTGAGCCGCCCCGGCGCCAGGCGCGGGGTAAGACTGCCTTTCGACGATCGCTGCTGCGACGAGTCACGCGCTCGCGCTTCGCGTTCTTGCAAGGTAGTGGACTGGCAAGCCCCCCTGTACGCCGAGTCAGCGACCCACAGGGCCCGAAATGCGGGGGGCGAAGCCTTTTCAAGGCCTGCTTTTGAAAACAAGGGGACCCCGCAGAAACATGCCCGAAGTAGACAGAAGTCCACAGGTGGTAAAAGCCTGACACCATGACACCGCAGCCAAGCTCCTTGCCTCGCTCAGCACCCATGGCGAAAAAGAGGCCCCAGGCTCAGAGCGTGGCACCATTCCAAGCTGGCGGGGAAAAAATACCGCAGCCGACCACCCCTACAGCCCTGACCAGAGAATCACCTGCAACACCATGAATGGCCGCAGCACCCCCCCCAACGCCCGCGGGCCCCATGAAATGCGACAGAGGCAATATGCATCAAAACGCAACCAACTAGCCGCGCAGCAGCGAGCCGGACGGCCCAGGGCTGTAGCGATACATACCCCTTCGAAAACCTTTGGCACGAGATACCTGCAGGCGCTTGGTAGTAATTCGAAGACCTTCGTGGACGGGCCCGAAGTGGTCGCGACGCTCGTGGTGTTGGTGTTCTGGGGATGCAAGATAATTTGCCAGTATTGGGGGCGCCCCTTGCGCTTTCGTTCGCGGCTCGGTTGCATGCGCTTTCTGAGTGTGGGCGAGCGCTTTCCCCCCATAGAGAACTTGGCTCTGGCTGCATACTTCTCAGCCGCGTCGTCGGTTCCGAGTCGATCGCTGCGGCGGATGTGGTTTCTCCTCCATGAGAGCTGCCGTCAGTAGTAGAAGGTAGTCGGGGGCCGTCTTGTTCCTGACAAAGCTCTAAAGGCTCCAGAGCTGCCCACTGGTGCACAAGTCCAAAATCCAGCGCATTGTAACAGACGTCTGCAGCCCTGCTGGTCGCCTTGCTCTTGCTGGGGTCCTCGTTGACCATAGGAGGGCGCCCACCCCGCTCGCGATGTAAATCGCTGGCCCGTGTGTCGTGTTCACGGGCTGCTTTGTCCTTGCCCCCGAGGGCTTGGTGCTCGGTTGCCTCCGCTCTTCGGCTTTCCACACGCACTGACGCACTTTCCCCGGCCCCTTCTGCTGCGCGGATACTCTGCTGCAACTCAGAAAGAGCCCACCGCCTTGCGCGTTTTTGCTCACGGTGCCAAGCCTTCTGGGGTGCAGCCTTCTGGGGTGCACCGCAGCGCAGGCGAAAGCCAGATAAAAGACCATCGCACCCGGCCCACCAGATATACCCCACAGCCGCAATGGGCCACTTTTTTGAAGAAGAAATAGTATAATAAATTCTCTCGAAGGCCCTGATGCCTCGAACCACAGCTGGGTTTGAAAATGACCCGCGAAAAAACTGGACAAATGTGGAACACCAATGCTAACTAGCATGGATATCCTGCTTGGTGCAAGACGAGCTGATGTCCAGCAGTGCAAAACTCGCCAAAAAGAAGGCTAAAGCCAGACGAGGATGAGCGAACTCGAGCACTAGCTAGCTGCGAGAATACACGACGTCCCAAAAACTCGCTGTAACTGTGTATTTGGCCATGAGAGTCAGAACGTGAAGTCACGTTATGCAAAATCTGCAGGCTAAGTAGCCGAGAGCGAAATAGATGCTCAATCAATGTCGAAAGCTGCTGAAAGTCCGCTTGAGGAGGAGAGTGAGAGAAGGTCGGAAAACCGTAATTCTGCTGCAATGTGAAATTTTTGAAGGTTCGTAAGCGCTAACAAATCAGGAGTAAGCTCTTCTACTTCGGCAAGAAAGCCGTCATAAATCTCAGAAAATAAAGTAGGAAAATTTTCAATCACGAAAGAAAGAAGCTGCGGTCTCGTTGGTATATCCGCTATGTTGTAACCTGTTGGGACTCTGTCCACCCAAACTGCCACGTCAAAATGCGACACTAGTGACCAAAAAATGACAGCCGAAATCGAGAGAGCCTCACTAGGCGAACTCTGATTGAGCAACGCGTTCTTCGCACTGTCGTTGTCAACGCTGACCCTGAAGTAGGAGGATCTGAGCGAATCTGCGAACGTGAGAAGCGCAATCGAAGGACAGACACCCTCCAGGAAATTGATAGGATGTTTCGCCGTACCAGCAAAAATTTCATCTCGTCTGACTTTGCGTCTGTAAGCCACAAGTTTCCCGTCTTTTAGCAGGGTAATCGCAAGCCAGCCGGATTCGTGGGCAAAACTCGCGTCCGTGTAGACCATCTCGTTGTCGTCGGACTCAGACTCAAATTTCGCAAACTTGCGGATGTCGGAGTTGATCAGATGCTTGATGTTATGGAGGCAAGCTGTCATCCTCTCGGAGATGCCTTTCTGGCCGAAGAAGCGGTGTGGGTAATTAACATAATTCGAAAGAGGTCTTAACAGAGGATTGAATTGTCGGTCGACTAAAGCCGCAAAACAGAACATAACCCGGCCAAGAAGCTGCTCCGCGACTTTGTGTGAAAGCTGGTTCGCTTTCAGTGCTGCATCGATGATACTCGAAATGGCCTTCTTCCTTTCGAGTGCTACAAAGTAGCAAGGGCATTCTGATGCCAAATCGAAGATGAGGCCTAAGACCTCAGCAAGTTCAGCTAGTTTTACTTTCTTCGGATGAATAGCGAAACTGATGCACTTGAAGACGTGCAACGCCGCGTCTTTTGCTGCGGCTCCGATGTCACTGGGAACGGGGCCAGGAAAATCATCGACATACACCGAAACTGCGATGCCGACAAAATAGCGGATGATAGTCCGGATAGCGGCCGAAATACGGCACCACGCAACGACTGAGTGCACATTGCCGAAAATGAGCACAAAAGAGGTGAAGAACTCGTACAGCTTGGTGTAAGGGTTCCAGCAGGCGAACCTGTTGTAAGGTCGATGGGCTGGCGCTACTGCTACTATGTTGTGTGCCTTGTGCACATCCACTATCAGCATCATCAACATGATAAGGAGCGGGGTCACGTGCGAAAGCTTGGCTCTCTTCGGTGGGCTGCCAGCGTCGACGTCGTTGTCATCGTCAGAGCCTCTACAGTGCACAACTGGTTTCTTCAGGAGATGTCTCGGGATTGGCTTTGAATTTTCGACGAATTCGACGAAAGCCAATTCAAATTCCTTCTCCATCTTCCTCCCTTTCTTCACTGTGCTCTTGTTGAAATGAACATGATTGAGAGAGCGAAGTGACTTGTCTTTTGTGGCTGCTGCAATCCCTAAAATCTTCGACGCCGAAGCCATCGGCACGCTCTTCTCAAGCTTCGACCTTTCGTTGTTGGCACAGGCTGGGTCGATCATGCGGACTTTATTCCTTTGGTGTATCCCGTACCTAAGCCACACATGATCGAACCCTTGGCCGAGTGCCTCCTGGTAGGTAGAAGGCTTGGAAATGCGCGGATGCTTCAGTAGCTCCTCTTCTTCAATCTCCGCTGCAGTCTGATTGTAAACCTCCATTACATCCTCCTCCGCCCATTTAGGAGCTGCAGCGCCAGGTTTGAACTTGTGAATCGTCACTGGGAGTGATGTGCGCAAAGGTTTATACCTTTTTCTACTATGCTTCTGCCAGTATTCAGGGCAACCGCAATCTCCAATACACGTAGCTCCTGGTGCGAGAATGTCCCTGACAAATTTCGTGTCTTGGTGGCCAGCGATGATTGCAGCAAGTTCGAGGAAACCAAGATTGTGCTTGAGATGAAACTGGTGCAATTCCACTGGCATCATCGCTTTCAGCTCGGAATCCAATCCCTGTGACATGTCCAGAACTCTGGATATTTCTGCTTTCACGTCATAATCGTATAACTTGTTCTCGTCCAAGCCCTTAAATTCCTCCGAAATCGGACTAAAGGGCGACTTTTTCCTGATGTCGACCTCCATCCTGGTCTTCATTTCCGCGACTTTCTTGGCGTAGGCTTCCTTTTTGGATGGAGCAAGGTTTTCTGTTGGGAAGTCGGGCAACGACACTAGCCGTGACATCATTTGCGTGGTAACGAAAGAAAATAAATCAAACAACAAGCTCACTCAATGAAAACAAAAAATTTTAGTGATTGCTCTACTGGAGGCCGTAACAACAAATGTAGACACTCTGCTACTCATCCCACGTAAATCCACTCTCCTGCCAGCACATGCACACTCTCGTGACCTTCATTAAAAGTGTCTAGCTGAACTGGCTAGAGAAGGGACACCAGACGTGCGTCATCCGCGGAAGTTGCAACTTGGCAAGTGTCCGACACAGGACGAGAGAGAAGTTTCTCATTTTCAAAATATGAATGCGATATGGAAAAGTGTGCCCATGTGGAACTTCGTCTGCCCTATGTCTGTGTTTGCCTATGCGTATAGGAACCCCGTCCAAGTGGTGGAAAAGCTTGGTGCTTTTTCTTGTTTCATTGTGTAAGGAACTTTGAAATTGATTACTTACTTAAACACGCTGTACAAAAAAGTCACATAGCGAAGATATCTGAATGAGTGGTAGCAGTACCAAGTATGGAAGTCATAACGACAAAATTTAATGAGAGAACCAACTGTGAAAGACGAAACACATAGATAACAACTTAACAAAAAACTAACAATACCCAAAATAATGGAAGCGAAGAACAGGAATAATTGTCAGGCGAATAATTAGAAGTGTACAGTTAAGGTAATAATAAACACTGAGATAATGCCTTAATAAGTGATGCTAAGTTGCATGTTGGAGTGAATTTACTCCTTCTTCTTCTTCCTCTCAGACTCGCTGTCGCTATCGGAGTCTTTCTTGCTCTTCCTCTTCTTCGACTTCTTTTTCTCGGATTCGGAGTCGGAGCTCTTGTTGCGCTTCTTGTTCTTGGCGTCTTTCTTCGACTTGCCGAGGTACCTGTCACCGTCCATCCAATCAAAGTACTCAACTTTCTTCAGCACTGATTTGCCAAAGCGGGACTTCTTGATGTCTTGAAATTCTTGGCGACCAAGTTCAGAGCGTTTGTAGGGGTGAAGACCGTGTTTGCAGTACTTCTTGCCGCGACGATTGAACTCATCGTTGTGGCACGGTGCGCACCTCATGAAGTGCCAACAAGTCTTCTTCAGCTCACGATCATCGTCGCGGTCGCGTCTGTTGTTGTTGTTGTTGTTGCTCTCTTTGCTGGCTCTGCGGCTGTTCTTCCTGCTCTTGTATTCTTGAGAGTCAGAATCAGAAGATTGCTCTTTGCTACTGAAGCCGAAGATTTCTTTCCCTTTGGTACTGGCCAGATCGATGAGGCCTCTGTAGTTGTTGCACTTGTTCATGAACATGCCTAAGAAGCCGTTTGCAGCTCTGCTTAGGAAGAACACGCCCATGCGTTGGTGATAGGTGGTCTGCTGCCCTTGAACGACAGTGGTAGCAGCGTGCTGGTCGCCTTCAGCTAGTGCTTCAAAGAAGAACTCGCGGACCTTCCTTTTGTACGTGTCGGTATCCAGACACAAGGGGTCTTCGTCCTCTTTCTTCTTGAGTTCACGGATGATGAGGCGAGCGTCTTGCTCACCTAGCAAGGCCGCTGCAGCGTCGCCGTCGACACCCAAGTAGTGGATGAGCGAGCGCGGGTTGACCTGCTTCTTCTTGGGAGCTTTCTCCGGTAGCGAGCTGGTGGAAGCGAATGGGTACTCAACCTTCATGCGACCAGCGTAGTGAACTTCACGTCGTTGCACTAGCGAGTTGATGTCCTTGAAAGACTGCAGGGAGATGCGATCTACTCGGTCGATGTTGATGTTAGCTTCGGAGTAGTGACCTAAATCTGCTAAATTAGCAGGCGCGCCATCGTTCGGGAACTGGTTACCATGGCCTTGAGCTTGCAGCACAATGTGAGCTACAGCAGCAATTTGAGCCACGTTGTTAGGGTCGATCTGTTGCTGCTGTTGTGGCTGTGCTGCTCCCGCAACTGCCGGAGGAGCTGGTGGCGCCACGATGTCTTGGATGCCTGCGTTCGCAGCTGCAACAGCTGGGCCTGGTGCTGCGCCTTGTGCTCCTAGTTGAGCGCCAGCTTCGGCAGCGGCTTGTTCTCCTGGAACTGCCATCTTGGTTTCTTGTTGTCAAATAGTGACGCGCTGTTGCTGCAAGTTGCAAGAAGAATTCTTTTTGCGAACAAGTTTTAAATACACCCTAACTGAGGTGGAGGTCGGAGGTGGTATGAAGCTGAAATCAGTGGAAAAATTTCCACAAGCAACTCAAATAAGACAAGACGAAGGCGAGAAATCTCGGACCTTGACTTGTAAGAAAAAACCAACAATTGTCGGTTGGCTTGAACATCGTGAGCTCGTGCTCGTTGCTCTGCTCCCTTGTAATTTCTGTCTCAGCTCTAGCTCGTGGCAAGTAATGGGATGAGGAAAGGGGAGATGTTTGATTGTTGAGAGAAAAAACCAGTGTGACAAGAGAAAAACAAATAAAAATAGTGAAAGACTTCAAGGCACGAAGGAGAACCCTTTGTAAATATTGGCACGGTACTCATTGCCTCTGTTATAATAATCCACCATATTATCAGCAGTCCATCTCAGATGGCATGCTGTTCTGTTTGTCGGAGTCTTGGTCTGCATGAGATGGCGCAAGCATCCAATTCGCAAGGCTTGAGTCCTGGAAGTACCAAAATACGTGGCGAATTCGGTGACGAAAGCTTCCCTCCATGGAGTTTCGTCATCGTCAGCACTCGCTAGAATCTGAATCGGTATCGTGACATGCGGACAAATCGTAGCTAAGTCGGTGTCGCAAATGCATTTGACATAGACCTTCTTAATAGCGTTCCCTTTGAGCACATATTTCTCCATGTCTAAGCAAAAGCTCTTGGCGGCCTTGTTGAAGTGAAAATCACCACTGTCGGGTGAGTGCTGGTTGTCGTCGCTCCTCTTGAAAAATGGAGCGCTCGTTAAATCTACAATACTGCCACCGTCTTCGTCCTCGGAAATGTCTTCTACAAATGAGCAAAAGTTTTTGTCAGAAGAAGAGGAGAGCTCGATCTTGCTAAGTAGAGTGGTTCTCCTCAGCCCGAAAAAGAAGCCCAGCGATGCAGCGGCTCCAGAAATTCTGTCGTTGTTGAAGGCGTCAAGGACTTCTTCCAGGACAACGCCCTGTGCTTGTTGATGTTTAAATAGTCCTCTCCTGTGAGCTCTTTTGACTATATCAGCAAGATGCTTCTCGTCGGCAGCTGTGAGGACAGACGCTCCTTCTACTGCTTTGAGTCTAGAGATGACTGTAAACAGGTAGTCATCTGCTGTAGCGTACATTGGTCTGCCATCTTTCTCGTCACCTATTAGTGCCGTGAAGAATGCCACTGCTTTATGTCTAGTAAGAGGAAGTGGCTTCTTGTATTCTTGTCCTTTGTCCTTGAGCGTTTCGAGGACTGCAAAGTACGCTTTTACTCTTGATTCTTCCGCTTTATTGGCAGGTCGTTCTACCACCTTGTTCCTTGCTACTAGGAAGTTGTTGGTGTTGCTGATGAGTTTCAGCATCTCCTTCCTCTTGGTCGAGCCTGCTTCGGCTTCTAAGCTCTGCAAGGTCTCGAGTCGGAGCCGTGCCAAGCTCTGCATGGTGCCAATGCTAGCGTTAGAGCCAGCACCAGGGACATTGGGCAAATTCGTGAGCCTGTTGTCTGCGGCAGTGTGTCCAACAATGTTGGTCAAGTTAGGTGCTGAACTGGAGCTAGTTGTGTGGTTGACCAATGCGGTGCTAGTTGAGGATGAGGAGCTCGTGCTTGCCGGCTGAACAACTTGCCTAATGGCAGGGGTGGAAATGGTGCGCTTCGTCTTTGTGGGAGAAGGTGACTTCTTCCTCTTAGTCTTACCTGGCACAATGCCCATTCGTTTCGCCACTGATTGTAGTTCGGTTAAGGAAGTGGCGGAGACAATGGCTTCACTGTCCTTCTTAACGCGTGCTGCTATTTCAGCTTCCAAATCGTCTTCCAGGTCCATTGTGCCGCCTCGGTAGCAAGAGCTAATCACTGCTAAATGAGGCAAATTGTGCCTTGAGCGAATTCGACTGAAAGAAAGAGCTCTCAGTACGAATAGATATTCGTATGAAAAAATAAAGCGACTTAATAGTAAAATGGGACTAGCTGAATAGAGAAAATTGCTGCTGCTTCGAAAAAATTGACATGAGCAAGGATGTCGTGCTGAAGAGACTTGCAACTAGACAACTAACTGAGTCCTTCGACTTCAAAGGAGAAGCGAGAAGAAAGGGAAAAAACGCAGTTTTTTCAAGGGTGGGTGGGAAAAAAATTTTTCTTCCGATTCATATTTTTCTTGCCAGGGAAAAAATGGCTGCTAAATAGCAACTTCTGACTGTCTGATCCACCTTCCGTGCCCCTTTTTTGCGGAGTTTTCCTCTTTCTCTCACCTCTCAGTCACTCGCTCAAGCAAGAAAACCTTTTTCGACGGGCTGTGCGAGGAGAGCTTTACTATCCGATTTTTCTCAAAAAATTAGCTGCCGTTTCACTACGCTCACAATTTTTTGAAGAAGAAATAGTATAATAAATTCTCTCGAAGGCCCTGATGCCTCGAACCACAGCTGGGTTTGAAAATGACCCGCGAAAAAACTGGACAAATGTGGAACGCCAATGCTAACTAGCATGGATATCCTGCTTGGTGCAAGACTCGCCACCAGGTCGAAGACGCCACTAGTCAATCGAGGATTCTAGAAATTCGAGATTACGTGGAATCTTGCGCCAACAGGTCTACGACCTAAACCTAGTGTGCACGGAGCCAAGCGAAGAACTCGAAATAAAATAAAATAACCTATCCTCGATAGGTTAGCTCGGAGGGAGGTGACGCTACACACCTAAGGCCAAATGTGATGAAATCATCTATGGAATGCCAGGGAAAAAATGGTTGCTAAATAGCAACTTCTGACTGTCTGATCCACCTTCCGTGCCCCTTTTTTGCGGAGTTTTCCTCTTTCTCTCACCTCTCAGTCACTCGCTCAAGCAAGAAAACCTTTTTCGACGGGCTGTGCGAGAAGAGCTTTATTATCCGATTTTTCTCAAAAAATTAGCTGCCGTTTCACTACGCTCACAATTCATAATGTTCCCCTTTTGCGCCAGCTATAGGCTCACGGCAGATGCATGGGGCACTGACTACCAAGAGCAGCGCGTTGGCCCATAGTCTGCTGCGGTTGCAGGTTGGCGAAGAAGTTCGGAAGAAGCTGAGAGATAGAGAATGCGAATCACCGGCGAGAGGAAGTTAGGGCCCATGCTGACAGAGTCGAACGAGGCCAGGAGGAACGATCACAAGACAACCTACCACGACACGCGGCAAGAACTCCGCACTGTCAGCGGGTGCAGTGCGTGGCCCTCGCCTCTGCGCCACACCTGCAGGATCATACTTTGAACCACATCGCCCTCCGTTGCGCCCACCAGTCTGACGCAGCCAACTTATTTACTTAAGGAGGGCGCCAGAGACCCCCCGAACTTTGGAGCCACCTCGCCACTTCAAACGCAAGTAATCACAACTACTCACCCAAAACCACCTACCGCAAGAGGATTAGAAGGGTGCACACGCTGCTCGCCACCCTTCTCTTCTGCCGTGAATGGGCGGGGCCTATTAAATGACAAACACACCTGCTACCCTGGCGCACAAAGCTTGCTGATGCCGCGGCAAATATTATATATAATGGCATGCGTGGGGCATGCGTAGACTTGTCGCACACAATGGCCAAAATTAATGGCCAACCGCTGACGACGTCGCCAGCGGGCTGGTTGCTGTTTGCAGTCTCACAACATAATCGGGGGGGGCGCACTGGTTTTCGCTTCTTGGGGTTTTTTGAGAGATATCCCAGAATGAAGAGAACCACAGCGGGCACAACCTCAGAAGCGGTCACTTTGGCTAGCAAACTCTGCTAGGCTTGATCCCAAGTAAGTCACTAGGCCCTGAGCCTCGGCCACGTGAACACCCTGGGGGGCGGTCGGCCCAAATATCCAACAGGTGCCGCCCGGCAGCGTGGGGGGCTCTCCTATAGGAACACACGCGCGCCGTATACACCAGAGACCTAAACTCGCCCCCCTATTTGTGCGCGACGCGTGGCGCGTCTCGTACAAAAGCGCAACACGCCACACCTGTAAGATAGCGTGACACGACGCTACGCCCTTATAGCGTGACGCGCAACAACCTTCATAGCGTGACGCGGCACCAGACCTATAGAGCGAGCGTGACGCGGCACACTTTTACGGCGTGGCGGGACACTAGCCAAGCACATGCGAGCGCCTTGGCCGACACTCCAAAGTCCCTGGCAAGCTACACGCAAGTGCCTGGCAGGCCCCTCGTAAGCGCCTAGCAAGCCACTCACAGATTGGGGCCTCCTGATAAGCCACTCGGAAGATAAGGGCCTGGCAAGCCGCTCGTAAGATAAGGGCCTGGCAAGCGACTGACCTATAAGTGTCTGGCAAGGAAACCACCCGCAAGTGTCTGACAAGCCACTCGTAAGCGCCTGGTAAAGCCCTCAGATCTCACCCAGACAAGACTGACAAGTCCGCGGAAGGCCGTATGGTCTCAGCAGTGCGGCGGCACTCGACTAAATAAAGAGCCACAGCAGAATAAGCAACAACAACAAAGAGACAGCAACCCCTTGCGCCCCCTGCGGGCCGTGCGTGAGGGGTTGTTTGGTCGAAGTCTGAGAAGGTGCGAGCTGAGGCAACCACTTTCAGACGATGCACTTCAATCAACAACCTGACCTCCCCAGGGCCGACATCACACCGGCACGCCGATACCCTCTTCCCGGTCTTCACGCCCCCCGGCCCCGATGCACCAAGCTACCACGCTAATACTTCCCCGGGCCAAACATTACACCCCGCAAAACCCCGCGCCGCTATCTACACACCGCACGCCCCCAGGAGCGCGCTCATCCGGATCCACCGAAGCGCCCCAGCTGGCTATTCGCCAACTATTTGCCGGCTAGAAGCGGGGCTATTTGGTGGGCGCTTCGCTCCACCTGCTCTAACCAGGGACAATAATGAGGGCAGACACACGGCACCCACCGCCACCCCCTGACGAACACACTAAGGGCCATCATGCCGAAACCGTTTACGAATAGACCCGAAGGGGCGACGGACATGCCCGGAACAACCACCACAACGCCCACGGGAGCACTTGGAGGCCCTCGAGCCGAGACAGCTCAGCAAACAACCCCTGCAGAGCGCCGAACCTCCCAAAAGCCGAGAACCAACACAACTGCGCCACCGGATGCCCGGACGTGAGACGTCCGGCTATTTGCCAGATCAAACCGCCCGACGAACGACCACCCGACCATCGTCCAGGAGACCTGGAGGCGGTCTCTTTCATTTCGACAAACTTTCGAAGTTTCTCGCTTTTAAGACGCTACTTGGGAGGCTATTTGGTCAGCGGCCACGGCCGAACTTTACAACTCGGCCGATTTTGTTTAATATAGCTTAAGAAACCAAACAGACCCCGAAGTAGGCTTTTAAATAGACTTTGAAAGAGACTTTTGCCAAGTCCAGAAATGGACTGGAAAACCGAAAAAAAAAACAACAAAAAATCTCCCAAAAAGAACCAAAATAGACCCCGAAAAAGCAGCCCCTCGCTCCCAAATAGACCAGAAGCCCCAACCCAAGTAGAACCATCCGACGAACGACGAGAGACTATGGGCCCTACCCGAAACCTCAGCAAACCGCCACAGCCTACGCTTTCCCTAAGCAGGAAAACCCAGCGAATACGCCCCCCAATACGCTTCCAAGTGGTTAAGTAAAAGTGGCTGAGCGATACTCTGCTCGGGATCTTGGAAGGCGGAAAGCTAGACACAGAACACCGAGTCTCTAGGACCTGCACTATCGTTTATAGCCACTTCTTTGGACTCAACAACTACAGCTTTGGTTTGTTCGGTTGGCGAAGGTCTAGCCTACTTATAGCGCACGGCGTGGAAAAAGGGTTGGCGGAGGCCTAACCTAAACAACTCAGGGCCTTTGTGGTTCGTTTATGTCCTTCCAAAGCGTCGCTTTGGTGTGGGTCTGTGGTCAAGTCCCGACGAAGGTCTGGGATCAAATATGTAGGGGCTCTTCGTGGTTCGAACTACTAACAACAACACTGCGCGGAGGCGTCAGGGACTAACTCCTTGCTGCGCGAAGGCGTCAACAACTACACTTACAGCTGCGCGGAGGCGTCAGCAACAATAGTACAAATAAGTTTATGCTTCAAACGCTCGCTACGAACTAGCTACTTTCTCAGTATCTTGCTTAGTTCTTATCTTATGGCTGGACGGTGTTCAACTATGTGTGGTTCTAGTTTTGGATATAACTATGCTTGCAAAGGATGGCTATGCTTCAATATCGGAGATCAGTCAATAATTCGCATGATATACATCACTCAGGCCAACGGGCTTACCAAGTGATTTACAATCCTAAGTTTGGCTGGGTTGTGTGAGGATTTCTTTGTTGAGGCTCTTTAACTTTCGATCTATGTTTCTCCAAGTGAAATGCCCAGCAACTTCATACACAACCGTCGTTCGTTCAACAAATTCAAATTACTACTTGGTCATCAGACAGCAAGTGTCAGACTCAGGGCCGACTTCGATCACGGTTTCGATCATCACACGCATTGAAATTTCCACGCTTGAAGTCGACTCTCTTTGCATGCATTTGGTTCGGATCTTCGATTCGTGTTTTGATTTGCTATTTCTTCTCTCCGACCGATATCTGGATCCTGTCTAGATTTGACTACCACCTTCCAATCACCACCTTAGAGTATGTCGTCTACCAGTTCACATACAATCGGCCAGCGCCTCTTCGGCATAGTCTAAGGCGGTGCGGTTAATCTGTTGCGATGGAGGCAACTAGACTACCGTGGTCGCCATGGAGAGGCGCTAGTAATCCAACAAGGAATTTGGGGTCCTCACTCGTTTCCCATTGGGAGCCCTGCATGAAGCGACATACTTGCGTGAGTGGTTTTCCTGGCTTCACGTTTCCGAAAGCTAACACGTGGCCCAATGTAAATCCAATCGGTGGGCCCGTCCGCGGTGGCGTAAACGTGTACGCGTTTGCTTTATCCGAAACGGTTATCGGTATTCGTTCGAATTTGGTTTCTTCGAGAATTCCATTAAACAAAAGGCACTCTTCTTGCGTGAGCGACGGAATAAGCGCTCCTTCTTCGTCTACCCGGGGGGCATTTTCCGAGATTCCTTCTCGATTTAAACTATGTAGCGCATTGAAGTCGCCGGCCACGACAGTCGGGGTCTCTCGACCGATATCGTCGCGTAATCCGTTTAACAACTGCGCGAGGTTCTTGTCGAAGATTTTCCGGGTTGCCAGTCGTCTAAGTCCAGGGCGGCTATTCACGGAGTACACCCCAACTGCAAGAACGTGGGGCGTTTGTACGCTGATAGTCCGCCCTTCCATTGACGCGCAGAAGTCATGGGTTCCGGTTGGTTGCAGCAATTCGGTCTTTGTCGTTCCTTTTGCTGATGCTCGTGCAAGAGCTGCGACCCCGAAGTTCCCCGGTCGTAATAATGCGCTGGCAAACTTGATCTGCCAGTCATATGGTGCAGCGTCATTTACGATCTCTCGTAATGTGTTGGCCCACCGGGCTTCGTCTCTTGTCGCGATTTTCGTTTCGAGTAAGAAAATTATATCTGCCGTGCGCAACAGCAAACACAATCGTCTCCATCTTGGGAACGATTCGAGTGCTCTGTTGAGTCCGTCGATGTTCCAGACGGCGATCAGCAAACTGTTTTGACGTTTGTATTCGATCTCTGCAAGTCGTACATGGTCCGGTAACGCAACCTGTTCGCCAATCGGCTCGAGTTCCGATTCGTATATTGCTCCAAGGTTTTGGAGTTCGTGGAGTCGTTTTTGGGTTTCTCCTTGTGAACACCCCGAACCACGCAAGTACGCTCGGACGCATGATAGCGTGAGTCGCAACGGAATCAATTGCGACGCTGTAATGGGGTTCAAGCCCCGGCACGGTCGACCGTCGAGTCGTTGAATGTATGCTGACCGCGCACAACCTCTCGCGATGGCAAAAATTTGTCTGATGTATCTGGATTCCCATTTTCGGGGTGCCGGACGCAGTCGCGCGATAAACTGTCCGCGGCCTAACCACATAGAAAGGTCGCTGCGGGGTTCGGCCATGCGGGCTCTGCGTTTCTTTAAGTTGGAGGCTTCTCTAGGTGCCGCTCTTGTCGCGGTTGCCAGCGAAATACTCAACGAAAATTCGGCCGCTTTCTCGGATGCTGTTGCTTGTGGGACGGTTTCGCAAATGGGGTGTGGTTCGTACAATCCTGCGCGGAGTCCCCGACCTCTGTAGCCGACAAGGTGGCTAGCGTCTCCTGTTAGTCGTGGTCGGTCAATGATGTGGCGAACGACAGCGCTCAGTCGTGTGTCCCATGAAGAATCGTTTTGCAAGTCTGTTACTGCTCGTTCTTCATCGAACTCAACTGCCATGCTGAGAATCCGTCGTCTTCTTCGGCTCTGACAAAGCAATC